ATTGGAGCAACTCACACGAAAGACAAGTGAAAAGCAGCCAGCTCCTCCGAACAAGGAAGACACCGCAAAGAAGCCTGAGCCAACTCAGGACGCGCTCAAATCCATTATTGATGAAGCACTGAAGCCGACAGAGATGAACCAAGGGGGACATAATCAAGCTGGTCCAAGCGCAACCGGTCAGAAGAATGCAGAAGCGGAAGATAAAGTAGAAAGGATGGTATCAGAAGTGCAGAAGGAGGTCAACAACCTGAAACTACTAAAGTATGATATGGCGGTTGTGAAGGGCACGTTGCAGAAGATTAATGAACCGACTCGTACCTGCACTCCGATCGTGTCGACTTCGGTTCATCCGAACGGATATGTGGGGAAAATGGCTGGACTACCAACTTCAGTACATAATAGCCGCAACATTCCGAGCCGAAGTATCCCAAGTAGAAGCGCACCGAACAAAAGCAGATTGGGACGCGTAATCCCTTCACACCCCAAGAGCGGACGAACGAAGATTAATCGCAACGTGTCGGCAGCGAAGTCGAAGGCAAAACGGAGCATTAATTTCGGGGTCGAACCGATGACGGACATGCAACTCCTTCGTCTTCACTACACGGACCTGAAGGTCTTATGCAAGATGCATGATATCAGGTACAAAGACAAGCCGCAAGCGATCTCGGCATTGAGGCAAGTTCCTGGATTGATCGCCTACAAGGGGCGGGACTTCAACCGAAATTCTGATCTTGAAACACAGATCATGCCAGATCCAGATAACATCAGAGTGTCCAATACAACTGGCGGCGACACCAGTGAGGATGATTACGAGAGCCTTAGTACAAGATCAAGCGGGAGTGATGAGTATGACTCATCCGACACATCTTCGAGCGCCGAAGATCTGTCGGGAAGGTAGAAGTCACCTCAGCATCAGGCGACCTCACCACGACATAGAAGTGGGAGCAGATACACAGGCTATCAACGAAAATTGAGCAACTGGTTAGCACAGGGAGTTTTACCTTGGTGTAGACATATGTACGTGGGGAGGACAGGAAGACAGCCTGACAAGAGATGGACTGAATACATAAACTTGGCCAAGAATCCAAATAGAGGAGCACGACGAAAACTATATAGTTGGCTGCACAAATTTGGTTGGGAGAAATATGTTCTGATACCCATTTGGACGGGAGTGAGATCAGAGGTGATAGGGATGGAAGCAGCACTGATTAGGAGACTGAATCCATTCTTGAATACAAGGGGAAAAGGGAGAAAGACTCGGAAAAACCGAAGATGAAGAAGGAGAAAGAGGAAGAAGAATGGAAACAATGACGTGAATCAGAATATACCTGTTTTGTTTAAATCGGTTCGATCGGGTTACACTACGGAGTTAACATCAATACTTCAACCGAAAGCAATGATTTACTGCACAGCTAGAAAACTATGGAATGAAAAATGAAAAGTAATTAAACGAACATTCGGATCAACAATTGTGGAAATTGACAACACAAAGTTCCAGCTAAAAAAATGCAGAAAACGAATCGAAAATGAATGTATCTTCTATGTGATCCAACTGGTGCATACGGGACCGAAAACAAATAAACATAGAAATATTCCGATTAACTACTTGAGGGCACCATGAAGACAGAAAGAACTATATATAACTTATCGTTAGATGATATACTGATTCTTCTGTCAAAGGTGGGATCGATTACCGGAAAGAAGCAAAGAGGAACAATTAAAGGCATTTTCACACGAATTTTAAAGAAAAAGTTTGCATTCAATATCAAGAGAAGGCTGATATTTAAGATTTCATTTGATGCATGCATGAATCTGAAGCAAGTGAGAAACACAACAACCGAGTCTATCTTGGAAAACGTAAGTAATAACAATTTGACAAACGATTTGACAGCTCGGATGCGTGTGATGTTTAAAAAATCAAAGACAGTCAGAAAAATATTACACAATCACAGACAGGTGCTTACACAAGCACCGGACTGTAATTGTGCAGTATCCCGACTTCCAAAAATTGAGAACCACGTTGTCTGCAGATTAAGTGAAATCATAGAAAATCAGCTCTTGTGGAATGCAAAAAACGTACCCCATATGAACGAAAGAATTGGAAAGGAAGAAATTAAAAGGACAATCATCATTACCATTGCAAGTATACCACGACCACTAAGGAAGAAAAGAGAAATTAAAATAGATGTCTCTACTTGCATCGAAAAGAAGAATGATATGGAGATTTTTCTCCACATATCAGAAGTATGGGAAGTAAAAAGAAGATTGACACAATATATCCTATCACCATTAGACAGAAATCCTGGAGAAATTTTTGTGGAATGCCGTAAAATCTGGTACGAGAAGACCCGAAAATTCTTTCCGGAATCGAATCACTACGAAATTATAAAACAAACAGAATCTGAGATCACTCAATTGGTCAAAAATACGTATCATGGATATGGGCTGAAGAAAATCGCAGAATGGGATGAACAAGGATCATACGGAAATGCGTATACAATTCCAAAAAACAAGGACGTCACCAGACACCGACCAATTATGTCGACGTATAAGGAGTCATCTCGGAAAGCATTGAAGGTACTATCAAGAGCTATCAACTTCATGTGTGAAGCATTGAAAGTTGGTTTCTCACTAAAAGAAACGAACCAACTACTACCTAGACTGAAGAAATGCAATCAAGTAGCAAAAGAAACATACGGGGATATGGCTACGATAATCTGCTCCACATACGACGTCAAAGATATGTTTCGAATCTCGATCACACACATATTTTAAACGTCATGCAATGGATGATGAAAACGGCGAAAGAAAAACGGAAAACCCACTTGTGTTACAAGATGAGTGCGATGGATGATGAAAACGGCGAAAGAAAAACGGAAAACCCACTTGTGTTACAAAATGAGAGGAAAGTACATGAACTTTGGAAAAGCAAACGGAACCTACGGATGGAGAAAATTAAAAATTGAATGCCTAATGGATCTGTTGTACTATGACATCAAACACGCATACTTCAAACTTCAAAGTACAAGGAACATTATTACGCCAAGTAATGGGGATACCAATGGGGAAGGGCACTTGCCCACCCATTGCCAACATGGTATGCGCGTTCGACGAGTACAGATGGTGTGCGCAGATTAGAATTGATGAGAAACTTATCCACGGTATGAGTTTTGTGGACGATGTAATGATGATCATAATAGCAAGTAAGGAAGATCAAACGAAAGAGTTGGAATGTCTGAAATCTTTTCAAACATGCTACCACCAATCTCTAAAACTTGAAATCACATCAGAAAACGCAAACACAGAATGAACATATCTGGAAACAAGGGTGACGAAATCAATCAACGAATAGAATCATAAGATATGATGAAAGTAGCTCCAGATTGAAGGCATGTTGGAAATCGACGACGACAAGGACAACACAGAGAGCGACTGCGGGAGATCCTGAGGATAGATGATGAGTACACTGCAAGGATAGGGAAAGTGGCGGAGAAGGACTGAGAACGAAGGGTATAAATACTGAGGATAGTGGCCGAAATGATTACCTGAGCAGTGAGGTAGAAGGGTAATCGCGACTGGTGTCGCATGCCATGGACATTACGTGTATGCTGTGAAAGTAAAACCTCGCA